CGTATCCACTTAGGTCATGCTAATTTGTGACATCTACAGTGGACTACACATCTTCTGGATACTTGCTTGGAATTCCTTGTCCTCAACTATTTTTCTTCCTCCTTTCTTACTCAAAGAATTCACCTTGATAAAACTACTCCCATACAGGGTTCGAAATATTACATTCCCACATTGCTGAGGAATTTAACTTTTAACAATGTTTTTATACTCAAAATGAAGGGTTAGCAATGGGATCCTCACTTTCACCTTTGTTATGTGACTTATAAATGGATGCATTTGAAACAAAAGCTGTAAGTGGTGTAAATTGTAAGCCTGATATTTGGGTATGGTATTTAGGTGACACACAATTTTGTGTGGGGATATGGTAGTAAGGCATTAACCCTTTTCACATGGGGCAAAGGCCGTGTCATCACGTTTGTTGACTCTCATTCAAAATTTTATTGAACGACTATTTTATGAATTTATATCAGTAAGTTTGGTATCAAACTATATATTATAATTCAAATTTTAGTATTATACATCATTTGATCTCTTAATTTAAAGTAAATATTAAAAGAACACGGTTAAACATCAATTTTTTTGTGTGTCACATGGTATGTTGAATGCAGCACTGGTTCAAATTAGATGTCAAAATACAAAGTCTGTAGTTTTGTACGAATCAGGAACTCAAATTACCGATATTAATAAGCTAGAATATAAAATAAGAATTTCCTGTCTTTTCTATTTGCTGAGATATTGCTCATGTACTGAATCAAATACAGTGACCCCATTCATCTCTCTCCATTTTTGGAAATGCTCCCTTATATACACGTAATTTTGTCTATGACATGTGAATAACCAATTGAAAGCTTCCTTATGTACACTTAATTCTGTCTATGACATGTGAATAACCAATTGAAAGTTTCCTTATGTACACTTAATTCTGTCCATGACATGTGAATAACCAATTGAAAGTTTCCTTATGTACACTTAATTCTGTCTATGACATGTGAATAACCAATTGAAAGCTTCCTTATGTACACTTAATTCTGTCTATGACATGTGAATAACCAATTGAAAGTTTCCTTATGTACACTTAATTCTGTCTATGACATGTGAATAACCAATTGAAAGCTCAGAATGTTCTCTTATTGGCTTTCTCATCCATTTTCCAAGTCTTATGATATCATCTTGTTCTTTCAATAGAAAATCTTAATGCTGGTAAGCGAGTCTTTTGTCTGCTCGAAATTTCATTTTTTTTAAGCCCAAATACAGCTTAATTACTAAGCTTGATAAATTATAGTGGAATTCTGTGGTATCGATAAAGAAATTTATGATTTTTTGGTTATTTCAAATGTATACATAAAACCTAAAAAAAATATTTCGTTTCACATCCTCCACGTGCAAAATTTTATAAGGCTTTGCAATCTACAACAAGCAGCAAACAAGTACAAAGATTGTAACTAGAAGAGATAATTGTTTGCTTTACTTCTTATCTACTGTTCTATGTTTAAGAAAAATAAGTTTTAGAAGTTACTTGTAAGTAGTAATAATGTATATACATATATTATGTATAATAATTGAAATATTACAAAATAAATAGTCCACTGAAAAACAGCCAAGACAGGTCACTTTTTAAAGATTAAAGATCAGTTTTATATTATTGGATACGATAACAGTGCATGTGAGCCACATCATTGTAACTTCTGTATCGTTAGCCAGGCAGGGCTGAAAGGCCAATATAATTTATATAACAAATATATATATAAAT